CCCAGCCCCCCTGCCATGGGCAGGGACACATCAGCAGCACTGCACCGAATTTGGCCTTAGGAGGAGACAGGAAAAACAGCACTGGGTGGAGACGTGTTCACCTCGACCATGGACTTTGTTACAAGAGCTCCAGACAACGCTCCCATTTATATCAGCACCAGGCTGGATTCCAGCACAGCACTCGCTGGGGAGCCCTGTGGGAAACGGTTCATTAAGTGGGAAAGCGAAGATTGTCCAAAGGAAGCAAGAAAGGTATGGAGCTGCTGGCAATGCCAGGCTGGAGGGGAGCTGTGGGTGACCCTTTGGGTGACCCTGTGTCGGTCACAGGCTCACGTCCACAGATCTGCACCTAAGTGACTGATGTGTTCCATCAGCAAGGAAGCAGCTACCAAGAAGCCTGCAGAGGGGATGGCCCGAGGGAGCAGGAGGCCTCTGCCCGGACACCAGCTGAAGACCCGACGTACCTGGAGCTCAGGCACTGACCCAGGGTGATCCCGGGGTAATGAAGTGTCACTGCTGGCAGCACAGCTACGTCGGGTGGATTTCCCAACGCAGACCTCTGGTGCAATACTGCAGCCTGTCCCAGGGCAGAGCGCAGCCCCTGGGTGGCACAGGCTTTGCAGGGCAGGACCTGTCTCCTCCAGCTCGCTGCTGGAGCCCGGGAACGTGTACGGGATGCACGACGAGCGCGAAAGAGAAACGAGGCCGAGATGGAGAGCGGTCCCGCTTCATGCACGCCTGGCAGGGGACGGAACGGCTGTCAGGAGGTGGGAGGCAGAGAGGATCACAGCCTCGCCCCGCTACGCGCAGCATCGCCGGGAGATGATGGGATGTTCCCCTTCCGTTGGAACCGAAGGGCTGCAGGCACCGAGCCCTGCGGAAGGGGCTGTAAATGTCACCCAACGAGGGCTGGACACGGGCGCTCCAGTACCATGGAAATAAGCTTTCCAGCAAGGAGAGAACAGCCTTAAAAACACGCAAGTGCAGGGAGGCGATGACAGATGTTTTCATTCGGGACCAGAGAGCCATCAGCGACTCTACAGCCTACAAATACTTGAGAAAAGATGGTGGGGAGGTAGGGGAAGGGCTCTTTACATTAGTGTTGGGTGATAGAACAAGAGGAAATGGGTATAAGCTTAGTCAGGGGAGATTCAGGTTGGATGTTAGGAAGTATTTCTTCTCTGAAAGGGTTGTCAGCCACTGGAATAGGCTGCCCAGGGAGGTGGTTGAGTCCCCATCCCTGGATGTGTTTAAGAATAGGGTGGATGATCTACTTAGCGATATGGTTTAATGGGGATTAGGGATGGTTGGACTCGATGATCTCTAAGGTCTTTTCCAACCTAGAAATCTATGAAATCTATGAATCTTGTGCTGGATAAATCACCTTCAGACTTTGCGAACTCGAGAGCCTGGAAATGGAGAACATCAGCTGCAAACTCAGCCAGGCAACTCGCACAGCACCGGAGCGGGGACAGCCTCTCCCGGCTCAAGGCATCTTGGCCACTTGTGTTGGCATGGATGAGCCCAGGTGAAGGGGCTCAAGATGGTGCAGAAGAGCCGTGCCAGCCCTCGGGAAGCCCGGACCCACCTGCACACCGCGGTCCTGGAGGCAGCGGGGGATTACGGTGGCATGCAGAAGCACGTTTCTGCTTTGCTCCAAAACACACGTGCACAAAGTGAAAACAAGCCCAGATGTAACTGATGAAACGACATTTGCTCGAGCCAGAAACAGGAGATGTGGGGGGGGGGAAACGCCCTGGCTGGTCTCTGAGCTGCAACCACCAAGCCTCTCTTCTCTGGGTGGCCTCACTGAACCCAGCTCAGCGAATGACTCCAGCTACAGAAGTGACGCAGACGAGTGGGACACCCCACTGTCCCCAAGCCACCACACACCAGCTTCCTTGATGCTGCCTCTGAACTCATGGCTGGATGGGACAACCCATCTGCCACCCCTGTGCCCCCGACTGAGGCACACGGTTGTGCCACGCCGTGGAAGGAGAGGGAAGGATTCGGGCATGGAGCTGCAGGGCACAGCAACCACCCCACGGAGCCAGCATCGTCCTTCGCAAGCGCAGCAAAGCCAAAGATGTACCTGAAAAGCCGAGGTCCAGCAGGACAGCCCGTTTGCGGTCCTTCACGCTGCTGATCTGCTGGAAGTAGAGGTCCACGACAAAGAAGAAGACGCAGCCAAAGAAGGCAATGATGCCAACGGCGATGCCGTAGCTGCAGGCACTCTCATTGTCATTGAAGATGCAGAACAGCTCGGGGTTCTGGCTGTCCGTGTTCACGTAGCACTCGTTCACGATGGAGCCAAACACCACGATGGAGAAGATCTGCAGAAGGAAGGAGAAAACACAACTTGCTGCTGTTTACATCTAACTCTGTTTTCCAACAGCAACATAAATGCGTTCAATCCTGTCTTTGACTCCATGGCAACATGGCATTTGTTAGACAGATCCCGATTCTCGCCTGGTTGGTGGCCCAAAGCAACGGGCTGGTGGATGGTACCTAAGTCCTCCTTTGCTGTGGGCCTGTCTGTCTTTCAGCAGCTTGGTCTGCAGAGTGTTTTAAGAGATGTTATTCTCCAGACAGGCTGGGGAAGGAAAAAATAAATAGATGGGCCAGGTCTCTGCACAGCCTTTCTGCTCGTGCTGCTCTCCGCTGTCAGGCTGCGCTCGACAAACCCCCCTGGGTGACTGCGGAGCGGGGAGAAATGAAGATACAGAGGATAACTGAGCTGCTCAGCAGGCTGAGCCAGGGAAGGACTGGATGGCCAGTGGAGGGGGGACGGGACACGGCAGGGTGGGGAGGTGGGGAGCGGCTACCCCGTGAACAACAGGGCAATTTTTCGCCTGGCTTAGCAGGTGTTGAAGGATGCAGCGCCTGCATCCATTACCCAGTGACCTGGTTTCAGCCTTGGGAGGGACAAAAGGGTGTGGGGGGGGTTGCTGGTGGCTGCTAAGGTCCCACTGCTGGGACCCGAGGGTGTTTCACGTCCCTGCAGGCAGGGAAGGAGCTGGATGGCAGCACGCAGCGGCTGCCTAAACGAACACCATTCATGATGCTGCACACTCAAGTAATTCCCCCATCCCTCCGACACCAAAGGCAGCAAGTGGAAGCCACGGGACCTGCTGCATTGCAATTCCCTCTGGAGCCTGGAAAGTGCTGCACCGCTGTCCGGATTTCAAGGCAGAGAGCAGGGAGGGAAGCAGGACACGCAGACACCCCTCCATCCAGCTGTGAACCTCTGATCTTGTCCCTTGCTGCTAGCACCAGCTCCCCGCATCCCTGCACGCCTCCCCGCTCCACCAGCGCAGGACACCGCTGGAGGCCACGTCTGCAGGCGGAGAGATAAGAGGCTCCTTCGGGGGCTCCCGGCAC